CAAAAGACGTACCCTCCATGCACCATCGTTCTGATGGAATAGTTTTTCTTCAATAAGTAATGACTTATTAATAAAAGGCAGTTGCTTGAAGTTTGATTGGGGTGAGAGTACTTCTCTTTGGAATTATCTTCGTTGCCCAAAAGAAAGCTTCAAACTCCGAGTGAAGGGCGTTCATATCATAGCAAAAAATTACTGTTTATGATTTTCTATATGATTTAGTAGTGTAGCCAGTTTATGCATTTCTATGAAAGCTCCTTTATTGATATGTAATGTAATATTTCAATAATATGGCTTGTTTTCGCTAACCGTTTTGGAATGAGAAATTTTTATATATCCTTGTAACAACTCTTTAAAGACTTGATTAGGTGTCCATGAAATTTTATTTATTCTGACATTACTCAAATGTAAGACTGAATCATAGGAAACAAAAGCTATTATTATTATATAGAAATTAGTTGAACACCACCATTATTCACTTTATTTAAACATAAACACTCTTAGTTTTATATTATTAAATAAGTGCTACAATGATAAGCACTCTTAACGACTTTGATTATATAGACCCAAACTTGGCCTGAAGTTCTTTGACAATATTGACATCCAACTGGAACGCCCTAGCCAGAACCTCTGGATAAATCAGAGGGTTAGACCCGAACACAGCGTTTGCGATTGTGATGACACCAGCATTCTGACTACTCAATCCCGCAAAAGCAAGGGCAGGGATTTTCCCAATATTCACCTGAAAATGGATCATTCCTATAGGGAACACAAAAACGTCACCAGGGTGCAATACTTTGGCAAATAAGCGGTTATTGTCTTGATTTGAAGAGACAAAACCCACGTATAATGTTCCTTTGATAAGGACAAGGATCTCTGAGCCACGAGGATGCGTGTGAGGTGGGTTTTGACCATATGGCGCGTAGTCTATGCGAACCAAAGATATTCCCATGGTGTTTAGTCCTGGAATCTGATCGACATTGACCGTGGTCACATTGGAGCCAACTTGATTATCGGTGTTCCCGGGAATGTTGAGGCCTGAAAAGAAAAAGTCTTCTGGATTGACTCGCCTTGGGTCTTTACAGAACCTACCATTCACAAAAACTGCATGTAGAAATATTGTTCCGGGGAGCATATATTATTACAACATTAAGGTTAATCATAAGGAGAAAATTAAATAAATAAATAAACGAGGGTTTCTATTTGTACCGCCATTTAAGTCATCTATGGCGACACAGAAGTCTTGAAGTGGACTTGGATCATAAGCATTGGTTAAGGAAATGACCAAACCCAATATTGCAATAAACATGAGAGAATGAGAGACCGTCATTTTTAAAACTGATGGTTATGCTAAAGCTTTCTCTAAATTTGTGATGCGTGTGTTGTTTGTGAAGCATGAGTGCTTTAATATTTATAGGACACGAGCATACTTGAGATGGTCCAAATCGTTCTAAATTTCTATTTAACATGTTTTAATTGGTAGTTTAAAATGTTTAATGGAATGCACTAAATGATAAATGAAATTACCTAATGGTTGGTAGACTTTTAGTTAAAAAAGAGCATTAAACCGAAAAGAGACTGGTAGTTGAAATTCCTATAGGAAGATTAGCCAAATGTTGCTGGGTAGATGTCAAAGAACATAAGCGATATGGTGAGGAGAGAATCCCATGATGAGTCAGGTTTATCGTCAGTTTAATTGTAAAACAAGTAGTAATTGTTGGGCCCGGACCTGCGGCCCAACATTTTGAGCAGATCGCAGATCGCAAATCACCAAAGGAAGCAGAGGCCTAGCGAGTTCGGGAGAAACCCAGCGGGCTTCCAGAGGCCCACTCCAACTGTTAACCGCGATCTGACCACACCTAAGACACATCCGAACTGAGCTTGGTCAAAACAGGGGCATATTAGATCAACCACGGTCAGCTCAACTCTAGTTAAATCCGCCACCTCTCACTATAAATAGAGGTCAAAGATGATGTAAAAGGCCATGATTTCATTCCTCGAAAAGCACAAGCACCGATACACGCGAGCTCTCTAAATTATACCCTTTATACTCAACATTTGGTAGTTYGGGGTCTGTCCGATCTACTACGATCTCTTAGCTAGCGACCTGATAACATGGGATCTGTCCGGACTATCTTTAGCGACCTATCTATATTCACCTCTCTTCGATTCAACTTTCTATATACGAGATTCTCCGACCTCCGATCTATTATAAATTCATTGTCGACCTGCTTGGATCAACAATTGGCGYGCCAGGTAGGGGVCTTGGAGATTYTCTAACGCAAAGAAATATGAGTCCGAACGTGTCCATAAGTCAACAACCCGGAGAAACATCAAATCAGGGAATCTTAGAAGCAGCTCGCGAAGCTCTGCCCATCACAACGGAGACCAGCCCGGTCATCACTCAGATTGCAACAAATGAAGAAACGAATGCCACAGCTCGCGGTCCCGAAGCAACAACAAATACGGACGATCAGATTGATCTCGTTCGCATCCTGGGAACCCTCATGAGACGCTTTGACCAACAAGACGACATGGTCCGTCAAACAAACGCCCGCCTGGACTCCCTCACAACGGCTCAGATCGTCATACAAGAGCAGCTCGACTCTTCCCGACCTACGAACTCGYAGCACCCCAGGGCGAACTCATCTCCGTCTCTTGCTGAAGAACAYGGACGCCCARCCATCCAGCATCGGRTTATTAACCTCAATACTCCATCACGAACTCCGATCTGCATGCAACTCRAACGCGYAACCCACTCAAGGGAACACTCTCCAGCCCACGATTCCGAGCTCGAGARCATTAAGGCTTCACTTCGAG